TTATAAGGACAACACATAGGCATGTTCGGGCCGATTATAGGGTTATCGAAGATGCTCTATCGATTGATGGATATCTTTATGGGTCTCCTTCTATCCCTTCATGGATATATACAAATCGTGGTTCTCGTTGGTCAATGAAAATGGACAAATCAGATTTAAGGAGGACTTTTTCTCCCCTATTGTCCACACAAGTGATAGTTATGTTCGTTCCGATCGTAGGGTTGTTGGGACGGTCTATCGGTTGATTGGTAGATGTATGAGTCCTCTCCTATCTCCCGATGAAGTTACAAAAATTGCAAGCTTTGATTGGTCGTTTAATGCAGACGTATTGCGAGGTTTGATAGTACTGGCGTATACGGTGGTCGCGTTGCCACGCGAATCGTTTACGACGAGAGTGTGCGACCGATGTTTACAGTGGCTATGGAATGCCGTAATGAAATGGGTACGACTGCTGTAAACGGCATTCGGAAACGGTTGACGTATACGATGCCTTCCGTTATTTTCCGAGAGAAGTATACAGCCGGCGTATGTTTACGGTAGCTGTTTACGGTGAACTTTTACGAGTAGCGTGTACGATTGACGTAATATACTGTAAAGGATCGTATACAACCGCCGTAAACAGCTACGGTAAACAGTTGTCGTTATTCGCCGTATTCGGTTCGTTTACGGCCGCCGTAAACAGCTATCGTATACTGTCGTCGTTATCCGGCGCATTTGACTAGTGAACGGCCGTTTACGGCCGAGCGTGATTGACCTGGGCAGAAAACAAATAATAAAATGTTGTGTATGTCGCTCACACTCTTTTTCGTATCGAAGAAACGACGAACAGATTATTGCTCGTTCTTCAAACAACAAGACGTTTCTGTTTGCTCAATGTCTTTACAGTAATACTGTTGGAAAAAAAACCCAGCGAAGAAGTAAGAAAGACAGAAAGAATGCATACCTTCAAATCACATCAGCACACTCTAATCGCTGTAACGATAAGAAATAATTCACTTGTGCAACTTCGAGATGTTTACATTAGACAAAGGAATATTGTTGTCAGGTGACAGGCTTGTTGTAGATGGGAGAGCTTGTTTGCTTCATTCTACCGCCTTCTGAAACTGTTACCACTTCTGAAGTGATTGATTGTGTATTATTGTTGTTGTCATTGCTGTCATTGACAATAGTGTCGACCAAGGCTTTTTTATGGAACACAACGAAAGTGCAATTGTAAATCAACACATGACGAAGCAGAATTTCAAGCAAACATCATTACTCATAGAAAAAAAAACTGCTGAATTTGATAATTCTTCAGATATGTGTGGATGTGAATGTCAGTCGACTTTTCATATATATCCTCATCCAGCCATCTAGCTTTGATATTTTGGATTGTTTTTTATTTGTTGAGAAACTAGTTATTGAAAATACTAAAATTCGCAAGCACATGATTATGAAATCAATAGAAAACTGATAATTAGTTATATTTTGTTGAAATCTTTCTCGATAATATTTTCCATAGACGTTGAGCAAATGAACAAAAATCAAAATAAATATCTGTTGTTTTTAGCAAATATTTCACATGATGATATCTTTTAAAACATGCCTTTATCTTTTAATGAGAAATCATTTTTTTTTAGTTTAAATCAATTATGAACCATATTTCATAGCAACATGATTGATCGTAGACGATAATCAATGATATTTAGAATCAACATATGCAATCAATTAAAATGGTAAATTTTATATTTCTTAAATATGACAAATTTATTAAGAAGCATAAAATCTTATGATAAAGCCTATGAAAGATTAGAATTCAATCAAAAACATCATTTGTTACTAAAATGAAGATCTTCATAGAAAGATAATCATCTGACAAAAATCGTTTCATATTATTGTTGAATAATATATGTAAGATTAACAGTAATTAAAAATTTGACTTATTTTGATCGATATCGTGATAATTTGGTACCTGTTGTTAATGTTCACTCGATCCTAATCACTTTTTCATCGAGCACAACATGTTTTGTGATCAGAAAAACTCATGAAAATATGTTGCTGTTTTTTTCATACAATGACATAATTTGTTTGATATAAAGATTCATATTATTTAACAAAGCCAAAGAGCACTTCAACAATAATTGAAATAAAGTGAAATTTCAAGAAATATAAAATAATAAACTAAATAGATATGTATTTGTTAAATATAAAACACCTATGTGTTCAAAACATCTTTTTTTTACATTCAAAAAGTAAAAAATCATTGTTATCATTGAATTTTGGTTGATCTATCTTTTGATCAAATGTTGACTAAATCATGACTCGGAACAAATAACCATCGAATTTTTTTTCGGATTATGTCAATGAAATGCATATTTGTCATATTTTACTAAGTAAAGAATCGTTCATCGAGCAGTAATTTATTTGAAGTCAATTAAATTCAAACACTTGGATACATGTTGAAGTAAAATTAGAGAAATATGCATTTTCTTTAACAAATAAATAAACAGATATAATTATTTTCATTTATACTTTGATATTCTTAAATAATTCTTTCTTCATATCTTCGTCATAGTACAGAATCCATTTTTCAAACACTAAAAACATGTGATGCGAAATAACATGAATGTTCTTTCTTTTATCAAATTATGGAAGAATAGGATATGAACAACGTAATAGAATTTTTTTTAAATAGATATCTATGCCTATATACATTATCTAATTATCAAAAACTCTTCTTTCAATAAAAAAAAATTCCAACTTTTTCATTCGAAAAAAAAGTTTGCTTAGACATTTTATGTTTTTTTTTCTTCTCCGTATGCTTTATTAATATTTGTCATGCAATCAAAGAATTTTTTCTAATGTTACTAAGCAATTTTCATAAAAAAAGATCAATATCTAAGACCTTTTTATATCTCGTCATGTGATAACTCTAGAATACACTAGACATGAAGAAACAATTTTGTTTTTTTTTCATGAAAACTATACACAATGAAATTTCTTAAAGAATTCAACGAAATGGAGATAAATTACTTGAATACGTCTAAGAAACAAGTTATAGACATTTATCAAAAACTATTTCCTTTTCTTTTTTATCATATTAATTTTGTCAATCTTAAATCAAATATGAAAAATTTATAATAATTAAATTAAAAAAAGAATACCAGATATTAATGAATACTCAAATATGATTAAAATTGATTATTCAATATAACAATATCATAAATATTAAGTATCAATAAGCAATCATTTGAATCACTCTATAATCTTGAATGAAATACCTAAACATATACTCAAGTTATATTCGCAATGGTAACACTGTGAAGTTAACGGAACTAGATCATTCAATCTTGAGGAAAATAATAATTCTATTGAACGGATAATATGTTCTATGTTCAAAATCAAACAACAAAGTTAAACACATTATAATGAATAACTATTCAGATCTAAATAAACCGATTTTTCGTTAACTTTACCTATCCATAATAATCAATATATCTACCCAATCTTTGTATGCATTTCATCAGTGTTCTGAATGAAATTGTAAAACAAACTATTAGCATACACTTTGTTGAAACGAGTTTTAACGTACATTTAGTAAATACGTCATCAATAGATGATATTTAAGTAGAAATAAACAAAAAACTAAAGATTATACTATTTGATTAAAAAAAAGAATACAAGCAACAATCAATCATTTTCATCTTCTTTTTTTTTATTATGCATGTTTAGTAATTATTGTTAGATAAAATCCATTGTAATTTTTCATTAAGATGATAACACAAAGATATCTAAATGTGACTACAGCAGTAGATTTTCTTAAAAACATTGTCAAATAGCATCAATTCCTACGAAAATTAAGTGTCAAAAAAACGTAATACTCTGAAACTTGATGAGTTTTATGCATTTGTAACAATTGCTCGAGTTCAGTATAATCACACAACAGTGCAATTCGAAATACTTGTCTTTTGAATACCATCAAATTCTTTTTACAATTCATCATTCCACGATAGTGATAAAATTTCAGCTGCAATAGACACTTCCCTAGTCCAGACTCCCTGTCGTGAGTCCTTAGTGGAGTTAAAAGGGGATTTAGGGACTCCCCAGGGACATCTTAGGGAGTCACAGGAAATTTATGAGTACTATCAAGGTCTCTCAAGAGGCTACCATTGGAACACTCTGAAGAATTTAAACTTATGAAAATTTTAGAAGGACTCCATAAAATTTGGGAAGTTTCAGAGATATTCAACTTCCCGGGGACTCACCAGGGATTTCGCATTTTTCAAGGGACTCACCGGTGCCTTCGCTGGGGAGAGTCGACTAGGGATAGCTTCATTTTGATTACGATCATTTCCAAGATATTCGCTTTACTTATTCATCTGAAATTAAAAGCTTGTACGACTAAAATAGATTAGAAGAAGAAGAAGAACACCAATAGAAGTAAGAAAAACGTATCAACCAAAACAGTAAGTATATCGATTGTCAAAAATAAATTTCTCTCAAACTGCAAATCATCGATACCTTCTATATATATATATTGTCTATCCAATTATGAGAGCGACATCAATATCACAGTGATCATATTAAAATAAAGCATCATTGACTTGATTGAACGATTCGTTGATAGATAAAATTATAATAACCAATATCAAACAAAGTTTTTTTTGAATAGTTGTTTGACTTTTTTATTTTTAATCATTATCCATCAATAGATGAAAAATTTGTTAGTTAAATATTCTTATCTATTCAATTTTTTATTTAATCATCTATTTCAAAAAAAACTTCTATTACAAACTGACATCTATTGATTATCTTGATTAGTTTATAACTGTACTTTGTTCTTTAACTGTAAGAACCTTGTGTGTGTCATCATTTTACTTTTTTAATAAAACAAAGACTAACCACAAAAAAAATCTTTACTTTTTTTAGATAAATTTAATATATTTTCTGTCTTTCGATTGGTTGTACAAGAAAAAGAAAATTTCAATTTGATTTTATTTATTTTCTTTTAACAAAAAATAATGTCTAAAAATAATCTTTCAGCAAAAGATGAAGCATTATTAATACTTGAATATCTTGAAAGTGAACATATGTCAAAAACATTTTTAAATTTTCTTGATGAAAGTAAACATCTTAATCAACTTCGTACAAATCTTTATAATAATTATGAAAAATCTCAACAAATAAATATAAATGAAATTAATGAATTTCAAACATTTTTTAATTTATCAAAACAAATTATTTCACAATTAAATAATCAACAACAAAATAATGAAATAACATTTGTATTAAATAAAAATTCAAATGATTTAAATTTTAATGATGATGATGATGATTTTCTAAATAATTTAATTAATCAACAAAAACTACCTATAAATTATTTATCTGATACATCAATATCATCAGTAATTAATAATGATAATTATAATTCTATAGAAGAATTATTTTCTATAGAACATAATATATCATCACAACAAATTCTACAACCTATATTAGATATATCATCATTATCACAAGTAACATTAACAGTACCATATACAAAATATATATTTGTTACACAAGATTTTCTTCAATCAATATATAATCAACAATCAATAATAACAAATAATAATATTAATTCTATTCATAAATCAAAACGACGTAGACGAAAATTAAAAATTCGAAAAGAAAATTATTATCAACAAAGAAAAATTATGCCAAAAATAATATCATCAAATCATCATTAAAGATAGAATAATAATAATATTGAAGTATTTTCGTTCGCATATATATTTTTGTTTTTGTAAACTTTCTGTTTGTTCTTTATATGTGTGTGTGTGTGTCTTTATTTTTGATATTGACAAATGTTGCATGTTCAGATAAGATTGAAAAAAAGAAAACAAACTTTTTTGTTTTTAAAAGTTATTGATAGATATTTATCATAAATGTCATATTCACTTCGATTTTATCTTTATTCATCAATTATTAAACAAAGTATGTATTGATTCAAAGATAATTTGTACATATAGTCATTTGTACTTTTCAGTACGACCTTCATTTTCATTGACACGTTGGAATTCAACAACGACACCAACCGCAGCATCACCACGAAAAATAACAACACACTATACAATTTATCCAAGAGACAAGGACGAACGATGGAAAGGTATTAGTTTTTTTTTGTTTCGCTATGAATAATTTATCTAATCACATGATGATTTATTAAGACAATAATTTTCATCTAGAATAAATTCTTTGTAGATATCAATATGGAACGTTATACAGAAGAATATGATGTAGTTATTGTTGGCGGTGGACCAGATATCCTTTTTTGTGTCATTCATTCTATAGTTTTTTTTTTGTTTTGTTCTTTAAAAAAAAACCATTTAGATTCCTTAACTACAGTGTACCTGGTCTTTCAGCTGCAATTAAATTAAGACAATTGGCAACTCAACAAAATAAAGAAATACGCGTTTGTGTAGTTGAGAAAGCTTCAACTATTGGTGAGTGATAAAATAATAAAGAGTGATTAAAGAAAAAAAAAAGGACTGATTTATTATTTAAAGGTGCTCATACATTATCTGGTGCTTGTCTTGAACCACGAGCACTAAATGAATTAATACCAGATTGGAAAGATAAAGGTGCTCCATTAACTAATCCAGTTACAAAAGATCGTTTTTATTTTCTTACTAAAACATCAGCAATACCTATTCCGATTATCAAAGGTAAAATCAATTTTTGATTAATCATACTATTTAAATTGAAATTATTTAAGGACTTCCAATGTATAATCATGGTAATTATCTTGTTCGTTTGGGTAAATTCGTTGCATGGCTTGGTGAACAAGCTGAAGCAGCTGGTGTAGAAATGTATCCAGCAACAGCAGCTAGTGAAGTATATATGTATATATATATATTTTTTTTTTCTTCTAATTATTATATTATTTAGATTTTATATCATGATGATGGTAGTGTTAAAGGTATAGCAACAAATGATGTTGGTATTGCTAAAGATGGTTCACCTAAAGTAATTATTTTTGGAAAAATTAAATTCTATTTATATTAGAATATTTATTTACTAAGGATTCATTTGCACGTGGTATGGAATTACATGCTAAATATACAATTTTTACTGAAGGATGTCATGGTCATTTGGCTAAACAACTATATAAAAAATTTGATTTAAGAAAAAATTGTGCACCACAAACTTATGGTATTGGTTTAAAAGAAATGTGGGAAGTTGATAAAAGTAAACATGAACCAGGTCTTGTTGTACACACAGCTGGATGGCCAATGGTAAATTGATTTCTTCATCGATGTATTTTAAAAAGAATAAAAATTTATAAATCTAATTCATATTCACAAAAGTATTGAAAAATATTTCATGATCTATTTCGATTAATAATGTTTAGACAATAGGCCCAAATCTATTATATAGAGTCTTTTTTTTTACTCGAATTTAATCTAGAGGAAAAAAACATTTATTTGGATTCTAGTAGGTTTTTGTAGTATGACACACAGGGAAATATTCCCAGATGAATCACTTCGTGCATCTATATATTATGTTCATATATCTAGAGACCAATTATGTTAGAATAACCTCAAATGGTTCGTGCATCTGAAATTTTTTTCAAAAAGATTCATATCTTGAAGATGCAATATCTAAAAATGATGAAATTTTATACATGAACTACCCCCCGTAATAGATATTTGTAATTAAAAGGGTTTTCCAGAAAACCGATGCGACTTTCACAAGGATTTTAAAGAGTTAGGAATAATTTTGAACTCATTATCTTATGATTCCTCGGCTTAAAACCCTAAAAACAGGGCATATTTTCATAGAAATTCACTAATTAAAGCTTCTAATAAGCAAAAATTATTTAATCAAATTGAAATACGATGAATTTACGTATAGAATAAATATTTTGTTTTTTTCTTATTTAGAATACGCAAACATATGGTGGTTCATTTCTGTATCATATAGTAGATAATGATCAACCATTAATTCTTATTGGATATGTTGTATGTGTTTAAATAATAAAAGAATTTCTTATTTTTTGTTTTTTGTTTTTTTTATTAGGTTGGTCTTGATTATAAAAATCCATATTTAAATCCTTATCTAGAATTTCAACGTTTTAAAACTCATCCAAAAATTCGATCATATTTAGAAAATGGTAAACGTATTGGTTATGGAGCTCGTGCTTTAAATGAAGGTGGTTATCAGGTATATCAAAAAAACAAATCGATAAGAAATATTTCATTTATAAATTTTGTCTATTTTATTTTATTGGCTATTCCAAAACTTTCATTTCCTGGTGGTTGTTTAGCTGGATGTAGTCCAGGATTTTTAAATGTACCAAAAATAAAAGGTACACATACAGCAATGAAATCTGGTATGATAGCTGCTGAAAGTATTTTTGATTTATTAATAAAATCAACAAATGAAAATAAAACAAAAGGTATTTTAAACTGAAATAAAAAATAAATAATAATAATTTTATTTTTTATAAAATTTTTAAGGTATAGAACCAAATGATTATGATAATCGTATTAGAAATAGTTGGATATGGAAAGAATTATATAGTGTACGTAATGTTCGTCCAGCATTTAATACATCATTAGGTGTATTTGGTGGAATTTTTTATGCAGCTGTTCATTTTATATTACGTGGTAAAGAACCATTTACACTTAAACATAAAGGTAAATATTTTATTTAATTTTTTATTTATATATATTATCTATATATAATAGCACCAGATCATACTCAATTAAAAAAAGCTAAAGATTGTAAACGAATTGAATATCCTAAATCTGATAATGTTATTACATTTGATCTATTATCAAGTGTTGCATTAACAAGTACAAATCATGATTCTGATGAACCACCACATTTAACACTTAAAGATGATAGTATTCCAACAAAAATTAATTTAGCTATTTATGATGGACCTGAACAACGTTTTTGTCCAGCAGGTAAAACTAAAATAGAATTTTTTTCTTTTTTCTTTTTTTTTGTTAGGTGTTTATGAATTTGTTGAAAATGAATCTGGTCAACGACAATTACAAATAAATGCACAAAATTGTATTCATTGTAAAACATGTGATATTAAAGATCCAACACAAAATATTAATTGGGTTACACCACAAGGTGGAGAAGGTCCAGCTTATAATGGAATGTGAACAATTTTGTGTTTTTATTTTTTTTTTTTTTTTGCTTTTACAAATATATTATCTTGTATATCATGATGATAATATGCACTAGAATTTTGTCGTTTTTATTAATAATGATAAACAAGTTGAACTAATATCCTTTCTCATGTTTTTCTATTGAATGTATAATCATTGGTTTTTACCGTATTAGATAGATTTCGACGATATGTTTTTTATAATAGAAATATTGGAAAATTTTATATTTACAGGTAAAAACTATTCTAATTTACCTTAACTATTTTGAAAAATAATAACTATTGAAATTCTTTTTTTTTTGTATGAAACTTATCGAATAAACTGAATGCTAGTTTCGGATTTGTTTTAATTGAACATGTTTTGATCTAGAGACGTAAATTGATTTACTTCTTTTTCGTATTTTATATAAAAAGAAAGACATAATATGTATTCTGTTGACAATGTAATCATCATTTTAGTGAGTGCACATATTGTATGAGACGTACACGTGAGATGATTTAAAAAAATAAAATTGAGTTTTATTGTTAGTATTTCATAGAGCTCTTTCTGTTGTTTTAATAGAAGAAATATATATAATAGAATGCGATTAATAAATGAAAACCTTAAATCTTTGACTTGTTTGCTCATGATAAAACCTTAGAATCAGATATCAAAATGTCCGAAAACTTTTTTTTTATCAAATTTTATTTCTCATGATAAAGCATAATCATTTGCAAAAAAAAAAATCAAAAATAGATTGTTTTTTTCTTGATAAAAACAAGACATGCATGCATTTACTTTCTATTCTATTTTGTATATTTCTAAATGTTTTTTTTAATTTCTTTCTTTTTTATTTTTATAGTGTCAAGCTTTTACTGAAAAAAAAAGAAATACGAGAAACTACTTCGACATTTGTTTTTGTCGTTCTCTAAAAGTGCTTTTCATCATAAATGCAACTAGGTAGAAAAGTTGTGCAATAATATGCATGTAATTAATTCGTTTTTACTTCTGTTCATTTTCATCTGCTGACTCTCAAAATTGAGTAAAATATATCATTGAAGAAATTACCAAACACACGGTAAAACATCCTTTCGAATATAGATTAATTTGTTTTTTTCTTTCGAAGAAATTCATAATAAAGATTGAAATTCTTTCTCGAACTCATATTGACATAGACAAAAATAACATGTCAGAAAAGAAAAAGAATAGAGAAGCTTTAATGTCTTTTTTTTCCTAATATTCGGCGACACAATTAACAAGTTGTTTTAGTGACAGACGCTCTCCTATACCTTTTTTTCTTTTTTTTTTTATTTATTCTGTGTACTTACATACGTCAGAAACACTGAAAGAAAAAGAAAAAAAAAAGTAGTAAAAGTAACTTCACTACTACCTTCTTTTTTTTCAGCCATCATGCTTAACAACTTGTATAATAAACTAAAGTGCGTTTGTTGTTTTTTTTTTTTATAGAATTTCTATCAATAAAATAATCAAATTCATATTGCTTATTGATTTGTTTTTTTTTTTTGTTATCTTTAGAAAACCAAAAAATTCATCAATGTCTGAAAAATCTTCGATTTCAAAAACTGGCAAATATCAAAATGGTACAATTCACAATGATGGAACTCAAACGGCAGCAGGAGCAGCAGCAGCAGCATCATCATCATTTGTACAATCATATCCTTCTGATACATCGAATTCAGATGCTGCTTTTCTAGAAGCATATGAATGTGCAAAATTAAATCGTGATTGGCATAAAGTATGTAGTGCATTATCAGGACATCCGGAATGGTTAACAAGAGTTCCTGAAGGTTCACAAAGGAACAAAAAAATATAATTTCAAATATAATATATATATATTTTTTTTTGTCTAGGTCGTCAATGGACAATGTTACATCAAATAGTTTTTTCTGGTCATGCTAAACATTTAGATGAAGCTCTTGGTTTTGAAATAAATAATAATGATTTTCGTCTTTTATATAAAGCACGTGATGGTAAAACTGTACGTGATGTTGCTACTGAACGTGCACATATTCATCCGGGAATGTTACGTCATATTGAACGACTTGTTTCAATTGATCAATTATTAACTAATGCTAAAGAACGTAAATGGGAATTAGTTAAACAAACAATAACAATACAACCGGATATCGTTAATGAAAAACCACCATATCGACGTTTTTATTTAGCACATCATTTAGCTTTTGTTGGAGAACTTAATATATTTAAAGAATTAAGTAAAATATGTAAATTTAAACTTGATTTACTTGCTGGAAATAAAACAGTTGCACAAATTGCACGTGAACATAATAAAATAGCATTTGCTGAATATGTTGAAAGTCTTCAACCACAAACACAAACAAATGAAACAAATGATGATACAAATGATGATGAACAATCATCAACAGATATGCCAGGTGTAAAACATTATAGTCCAGGTTTTTATGATGATCCATGTATATCATTTATTCCAGCAAATCTTAATTTAAATAATATATTTCCATTATCAAATCATTCATCATCATATTCTAATAATTATAATCATTATCAACAACATACAACACATAGTCATCCTAGTGTAACAAATGATCATCATTTTGCAACACATAGTCTTTATCAAGGTGAAAATCCAACAGCAATGGCAACGCCAACACCAAAAACAACATATAATTCTTATAATCAAACAAATAATAATCAATTAACAAAAAAAACTACACATCAAACACCATATCCAACAACATCATCAATGCCAATGCCAACAACAATAAATACTCAACAAAGTTCTACTTATGGAAATAATGATAATAAAAAACTTTCGAAATTAAAATCTAAAACATCTGAAATGATGAATAATGATCAAAATGCATATGAAGAAACAGCTCAAAAAAATAT